CTCGCTCGGTTTGGTTTAGCCCGGCTCACTTTAATGCTGCGTTTCCATTACAGTTTAGGAACTGGGGTAGTTACCATAGTAACGCAGTGTAGGCGGGGCGATCAGCTTTTTGGCGGGCGGAGCGACGCTGCATACAACTGCCGTGATGTCATCTTCAATGCGACACAACTCACAAAACACACAACAACAATGGAGGATGTGGAAGCCATCGTGTCCTTGCTTCTTGGTATGTGGTTTTTTATCACAGCAAGAAGGAAAACTTTGTTTCGGAAAAGGCTGCTTATAGCAAGACGTAATACAGAAGAAGCTGAGGGGAGACTTATGGCAATCGTACAACGCGGCAGAGACTACTCCAGGACGACTCAACGACAACGCTACTCGGTAAGCTAACGTTCGCTAACTAGCAATGTGTTTCACGCTCACTATACGACCAAAGTGTTTCACGCTCATTATATGACAAAAGTGTTTCAAGTATTTAATTAATTGTAGCTACCACTTTTACGTATTAAAATATGTATGCTTTTGTTTGTGTATTTCAGAAGTTAGGTTGCCACCGCAGACCATGTGTTTGGATGCTTGACCGAGCAACCGAGTGGTGGGGTGTGATTGTTCCATCTTTCACACACACACTCAGTGGGTGGAGAACTTCAGGATGTCTGAGGAAACCTACGTATACCTGTGCAACAACCTGCGGCCAGCGATGGAGAGACAGGACACAACATTCCGCGAGTGTATACCTCTAAAGAAGAGGGTGGCCATCGCACTGTGGAAGCTTGCGACCGGTGTTCCGGATTGACTGGTTCCCCGATCAACTGGTTGACAGATGTGGAGGCGTGGCCTCGACTGAAATACACATTTCGATCGCTTCTTCTGTCGTTTACATACATCTTTTGGTATATTTGGCTGGATAGGAACACTTTGATGTACATTCAGTTCCAGTGTGTGAGGTTGTGCTTACGATGGCAATATCCGGACGCGAACAGCGAGGACTACAAAAAGAAAAACGAGTTGATCGGGGATGTCTGTTCAAAACATTGCGAGCTCCAATAAATCATTTAAACCAGCTATTGTTGCCAGACTTATTTCTGAATATCGTTCTTAATGTGATACCAAGTCCATCTGATACCTGTGTACACCTTCAGACAGCCTCCAAGTGAAGCACATGTTATTTACTCACAGTTTGAAAGCAGCGTGGAGAAGTCCTTCAGCTGTGTTAAACTGTGATCGCTCGAATAAATCCTTAAAACCAGCTATTGTTGCCCGATTTATCACTGAATATCGTTCCTAATGTGATACCAAGTCCATCTGAGACATGTGTACACCTTCAGACAGCCTCCCAGTGAAGCGTACGTTGTTTACTCAGAGTTTGAAAGCAGCGTGGAGAAGTCTTCAGCTGTGTTAAACTGTTCCTCTCAGGTAAACTGTGATTCGCCCATGGGAAAATGGGATCCGCCCAGATTAAACTGTGTTACGACTTCTGTGGCTATCTACCAGCGATCATGTTTAATATGAAAGACACACACATATACATCCCTTATAAAAACGGCATTCTGCAGCACTCATCCAGATAACATGTGACTGTTAACTCGTTTTGCAAAGATAGCAGCAGAAATGTCATTGCTGCATGTGCAGGGATATTAGACTTTAAAATGCTGATGGGTCATTAATGTTGGTCTCGGCAAACAATATTAGGAATCCTCTATTCAAACCACATCATATTCAGTGTCCATCGACATGAAAATAACAAAAAAGTTCATGCTGGACTCAAACCCGAGTCCCAACCATAGACTGTACAGGGTCCCAACAACAAAGGTCACTCCAGCCCTGCGCGTTATGAGTGCGCCACAGATCAACACGACGTATCGAACCACCACACTATAATATTTTAAATTAACCTTGTTAAAAAGTTCCAGAAAAATGCAACCCGACCATCATTTATAATGTGAGCGAATGTACACTTTAAGCCATATAATATACATATTATAATATAGTATACTGACTGAGGTCTGTATCAAGCCTCATTAAGACCCACCGAGATCAGATATCCTAGTTTATCAGCCTGCGAGCCCACATTATGTTGTGATAAGTGTTAGTTTTACATATAAGTGTGTTAGGGTTAATCTAAAATATTATAGTGTGGTGGTTCGATACGTCGTGTTGATCCGTGGCGCACTCATAACGCGCAGGGCTGGAGTGACTTTTGCTGTTGGAACTCGGGTTTGAGTCCAGCATGAACTTTTTTGTTATTTTCATGTCGATGGACACTGAATATTATGTGGTTTGAATAGAGGATTCCTAATATTGTTTGCCGAGACCAACATTAATGACCCATCAGCATTTTAAAGTCTAATATCCCTGCACATGCAGCAATGACATTTCTGCTGCTATCTTTGTAAAACGAGTTAACAGTCACATGTTATCTGGATGAGTGCTGCAGAATGCCGTTTTTATAAGGGATGTATATGTGTGTGTCTTTCATATTAAACATGATCGCTGGTAGATAGCCACAGAAGTCGTAACACAGTTTAATCTGGGCGGATCCCATTTTCCCATGGGCGAATCACAGTTTACCTGAGAGGAACAGTTTAACACAGCTGAAGACTTCTCCACGCTGCTTTCAAACTCTGAGTAAACAACGTACGCTTCACTGGGAGGCTGTCTGAAGGTGTACACATGTCTCAGATGGACTTGGTATCACATTAGGAACGATATTCAGTGATAAATCGGGCAACAATAGCTGGTTTTAAGGATTTATTCGAGCGATCACAGTTTAACACAGCTGAAGGACTTCTCCACGCTGCTTTCAAACTGTGAGTAAATAACATGTGCTTCACTTGGAGGCTGTCTGAAGGTGTACACAGGTATCAGATGGACTTGGTATCACATTAAGAACGATATTCAGAAATAAGTCTGGCAACAATAGCTGGTTTAAATGATTTATTGGAGCTCGCAATGTTTTGAACAGACATCCCCGATCAACTCGTTTTTCTTTTTGTAGTCCTCGCTGTTCGCGTCCGGATATTGCCATCGTAAGCACAACCTCACACACTGGAACTGAATGTACATCAAAGTGTTCCTATCCAGCCAAATATACCAAAAGATGTATGTAAACGACAGAAGAAGCGATCGAAATGTGTATTTCAGTCGAGGCCACGCCTCCACATCTGTCAACCAGTTGATCGGGGAACCAGTTAATCCGGAACACCGGCTCAGAGTACAGAAGCATTGGACATCTTTTCGGAGTGAGCAGGACTACTGTGTGCCGGTGTGTGCAAGACTTCTGTGCTGCTGCAGAGACGTTGTTGGTACCGGAACTAATTCGTTCACCAGACCGGGAGCAGTTTGCAGAAATGGCTGCCTACACTGAGAACCGGTGGGGGCTCCCACAGTGTGTAGGTGCTATTGATGGATCACACATACCCATCTTGGCACCACAGGAATGCCACTGCGACTATTTCAACCGTAAAGGCTGGCACTCCATCATCCTTCAAGGAGTTGTAGATGGAAAGGGACACAAGGTGCAGAGGAGGAGGGCACTGAAATACGAGAGGGTTTGATGCGCTACCTGAATAGCTAAATATTCATTGTATACAGGAAACTTGAATGTTTTGGTTCATAACATCATGGTTCAGTAAGTTGATATACATTTCTTGTGTTTGTAAACACCACATTGAAAGATTGTGGGCCATTAAGGATAGTGACATTTTGTTTTGTTTTTATTATTACTACATTGTATTGAACATAAATAAATCTATTTTTCTCTTTCACATATGTGTTTGTCAAATGATTTAAACACATTTTTTTTATCAGAATTGACTATTTAGTAAATATTTGATTTTCAAGCACCAGTAAGTACTTCCCCATAATAAGAACATTTGAGCAAATATGAAAGTAAACATAAATACAAATGATCTCTTATCCCCCTTCTCTTTCTGTTTTTTTCTAAATACCCCCTTCCAGTTTATTTGTAAAAGGAAATATTTTACTTTAAGTAATGTGTCAGTTACCAAATAATGTTTTAGAGGACCTCAAGCAAGCAAACTCAATTTCTTGCTTTAAATCTCTTCTTAAAATTAACTTTTATCTTATGGGCTTTTTCCTAACTGATGGTGTTTCTTATTGCTTTATAAATGCATGTATGTTTATATCTCTAGATCTTAATTGGGCTATTTTTACAATTGTTTTTGAGTGATATTGTAGGCTTTTGTTTTTAAAGATCCACAAATATTATTAGTAATGGTATTAGTTGTAGCCTATTTTTATTTAGGAAAAATATAGGCCTATAACTTCTGCCTCATGTGAATCTGAGTTTTTGTTCTGCTGATTTAAAGCCCTTTAATTGTACATTTCAGTTTGATTGGATTCCAAAACTGTAATGTTGTGTGTGAGTGGCAACCCAGTGACTTTGTTTACATGCTCACGGAAATCAGTTTGTTAATCAGATTATGGCAGGAAATCAGATGATGCATTTATCAACAAGAGATAAGGTGAGAAGTACTTTATTGAATCCCAATTTGGGAAGTGTTTTTTGTTGCAGCATAAAAAGGCATGGCATTGTATGTACAATAGAAATAAAAAAATATATATATATATTTGTTGCAGCAGCATAAAAAGGCATGGCATTGTACAAATACAAAATAAAAAAATGTTTGTATTGCAGCAGCATACAAAGATATGGCATTATAAAAAAAAAAAAGGAAAGATAAGAAATAAACAAGAAAGTATAAATGTTGCATTTACAAATTAACAAAAACAAGAGAGATGAAACTGAATAATATTAAAATTACAGAGGTGGTTCGTCTTCCTGAGGAGATGGGCCACGTCGGCTGCCCCGCTAGAACCTGGCCGAGAGTGCGCAGGAAGGCCAGGTTAAACGCATGAGTTTGAGCGTTCTCCTCCCTTCTCAAGGCCATTTCCTCCTCCCTTGCCCGGGCAGCAGCCTCCATGGTTAGCTGCCAGCGCCGATCCACCTGGGCCAGGCTCTGTTCATGGTGCCGTGCCTACTGTGCTAGGTGCTCGTCTCCTCCTCGTTTCCTCTTGCCTGTATGACGATAAGATAATTATAGCAATAAGAATTAGCAAGGAAAAACACAGGACAGGTACAGGTCACACAAGGATACAATAAAATGTATAAGCAGAACAACAGTAAGGATGAACTAAAGACAGTTATGCCCTAGATCAGGGGTGCCCAACCAGTCGATCGCGAGGAGATTCCCAGTCGATCGCGAGATGTGTCTAAAAATAGAACAACAACATTCTGTTTTATCGTTAATGTCCTGTAACATAATGTTCCTGTGCCAGAATAATGCACTTGAACGCATCAAAGCTTTGTGATTGGCCGGCGTGACCCCATGTGTCGGGGCGTGGCTGGTGGGCACTATTTCCCTGACGTTGTTGTCCGACCGTGTCAACAGGAGTGACAGTCCGCACACACACACAAGACCGCAATTATGGCAGAAGCAAAAAAGCCCAAAATATATAATTTTCACTCCGAGTGGGAGGATGATTATTTCTGTATCTATTCCAATTCAAAGTCCATCCGTCTCATCTGCAATGCGAGCGTGGCTTTATCGAAGAAGGGTAATTTTGGAACGGCATTTCAAAACAGTGCACAAACGCTACGAGACGGAATTCTCTCCTAATTCTGCCCTACGCTCCAAAAGGGGAGGGGCCTGAAAGGACAGCTAAATGCACAGCAGTCCATTTTCACCAGGCCCAACAACAAGAGCAAGGCTTCTACCATAGCATCTTATCGTGTCAGTCACGTTCTTGCGAAACACATGAAGTCTTTCAAAGATGGCGAAGTTGTGAAAGAAGCATTCCTGGAGGCTGCTGACGCGCTTTTTGGGGACAGTAAAAATAACAGTAGCATTTCAACAGGTTTTTGATAAAAACTCAAGTTAGATACCGTTATTAATCAGCTGTAAGTTTGAGTTTGTTTGAACTTATTCATTATAATTATTGTACAAAATGGTATAAGAATGCAAACATTAAGATCTGTTCTGTTTAAATTGATTATAGTCTATTATCAATTCAGGTTAAGAAACTAGTGTTGCTTGCATCCTATTTTAAAAAGGCATTCATTTTTATATTCTACTAAAATGCAACAAAAAAATGGTTTGATTCTATTAATGTTGTCTTTTGTATTGCACTGTTGCAGCAGATTCCCGTGTAGCTTCAGATCTGAGTTGTCTTATTAGTAAGCCTCATTTATACTTTTGTAGCAACACTATTTTTATATAATGGCAAAGAAAGGGTTCAGAGTATTTTCTTTTATCCCTGTGTCATATGTGGCAGCACTGTTCAATGTTTCTTGAAAACATTACCCACTGTAGTATGTGACGTGTGAATAAACTCCAACTCTGTATCAACAACACTGTTGTGTAACTTCAGTTGAATACTTGTATGTGTGCAGATTAGAAAGAAGTAAGATAAAGGATCTGCAGTATTTTATGAAGTATTCATCGTACAAAGGTCAGTTTTATACAAGTAGAAGTGTGTATTTACCTGGTAGTAGGCTGTCAGTAATGGCTACGCCTCTCTATTTGGACTGGTAGATCTCGGCAGACTGGCAACTTTAAAAGTAGCTCCCGGTTCAAAAAAGGTTGGGCACCCCTGCCCTAGATGTTTACAATGATTGTGAAAGTGAATTACATTATGTCCAGCCTGTTGATAATGAATATAAATATATGTATATAATAGGATGTCACACACAATTGTAGTAGCTGCGTACTAGCTAGTTTGTAACAGAGCATTTCCACACAGTGGTATAGCTTATTTTACTTAATGACGATGGATGATCTAAAGTTTAAAAAAAAGTCACAATTCCAGTCGTTTTGCCATGCCTATTTCTTACCTAGAACCACACGCTGCGGTGTCGTGATGGCACTCGGCGTTGGTGTCGGTTCCTCGACTGGTGTCTGTGGTCGAGTTGAGGTGTGTTCTGATGATGTTGAGGACGGAACACTGCCACCACCCGTTGTTCGGGACTGTTCTTCCTCACTAGTCCCAATGGCATCATCTAGAACAGCAACATGACTTGTTAATTCCACAAACTACTGTAGCACAATACTAAATAGCAACAACAACTGTAGAAAAGAATAACCTAAACAATGGCGCATGTGGTGTTAGCAAACAATAGCTCTAGCTAATGCTATCTGCCAGCTAGCTATGTAGCTCTTCGGGGCTCCATAAAAGCATGGGTTGTCGAACATAAATGTAAGGATAAAATACTTGTTTGTTAGAAGTGAGCTTTAGAATAGATAGGGACACAACGCTTTCAAGCAAATAACAGAGCGTTAGCAAAGACTTACCATGCAGGGACTCCAGTAACGCGGTTGCAGAGTCCAGGCCTCCCTCCCTCCCAACGTTGGCCGGTCTATGGCCATAAATAGCGTCCAACAGGTCGAACCACTTCCAGCTTTTCCTATCTGAACCACTCCGGCCGTTGTGGTCCTTCACGGCTCTATACTCACTCTTAAGCTTTTTCAGTTTTTCCCTACACTGCTGGAAAGTCCTTGAGAATCCGCGCTCGGACAACAGTGCAGAGACCTCCCGAAAAACTTTTAGGTTGCGAGTTGTGCCGTCGAGCTCCCGCTGGATTTTATCATCTGCAATCAGCTGGAGGAACGTCGCAACTTCGTCAATCGACCACGGTATGTTTTTCTTTGCCATTTTCTTAGGTTTACAAAAATGCTGCAAGCGTCCCTTAATATATGCGACACTAGGGATTAAGTCGCGCGAGAATTGTGACGATTCTCTCTGACCAATCAGCAGTCGTAACTAGTTTGGCATATTCCGCCCGGTTGTTGGCCCCGCTTGTTGGCCTCGATAGAACCACGATTTAGTCGGGCCAGAAAAAGGGTGAAAAAGTAGCCTCGGGCCAAAACTAGGCCAAGTGGAAACGCAACCAAAAACGGGCCCCGCACGGCTCGGCGCGCTTAAAGCGAGCTACCCGCTGCAGTGGAAACGCGCCATTAGTGAGTTTGAGAGGGAGGACACAGAGAAGAGGTCAAACGAGAGAATGAGAGGGGGACAATGTGTGTGTCTTTGTGTTTGCATGTTTACGTCTTAGCTCAAAGCACCATAGCAGAACAAAGTTATGTAACAATTCAGCTTGAACGAAATGCACACACATGCACACACACACACACACACACACACACACACACACACACACACACACACACACACACACACACACACACAAACACACAAATAATGTCCTCACTCGCACATTGACACAAATGCGGACCTCATACAAAATGCAATTACACTCACACGCCCTCAGCCTGCCCCATCATATTGACCAGATGTTTCCTTAGGTTGTGCGGTCGTGACATGTTAACTCTTATCAGGAAAGACTCTAGACACTGAGAAAAACACCAACGAGAGGAAAAATATACAAAAATCGATGCAAAGGGGAATTGCATCAATTCACTTCAAAGAGTCAAATAACTGTTGACCTATGACAAGTCCTTTTAGTACATTAAAAAAATGCATCCTGTGATTCTGGCGATCCCGTCCTAGAACCCAATTAAAATGACACATGCCTATGACTGCAATGTCAGCATCATTTCAGGGTTAGGATTAGCATTGTTACATTTCATGCCTCTCTTCGCATGCTTCCAAGTTGAGCTGATGATTATGACGCATGCAGCCATGCAGAGTCATTATACAAGATCAGCTGTGAAAGTGAAAAGATTTAGCTTTGTGAAATACAATTCTTTATTAGATTGTTGGCTTTTGGATTTCATATCATTTTTTAAATTTGGAGAAAGTGGGAGTGCTAAGTGAAAAGGTACATGTTAACAAAAAGGTATGGGTGCGTTTAATTAACTAAAACTGAGCACTGATCTGTTTCCTCAGAGTCTCTGATCACATAACACTGTTTTATTTTAACAGTGTTATGTGATCATATGTTGTGCAATTGTATTGTTGGTTTATGGGCAATGGGCAAATGTCTGAGTCTAAATATCTTGGTTTTCTATTTTCTAAGGTCAAATTGTTATCTTATTGTTTTTTCTTTCTCATTTATGTATTGGCATTGCATTAGACATTGAGGTAATCCAAAAGGAATGCAAGGTAATCACGTTACATTACTTTGTACTATGATACTTAGGAATGGAATGGAATACATTTTTAAAGTAACCCTCCCAACCCTGGACATAGGTCATCTTGTTCAGAGCAGAGGTGGGGGAAACGTGAACTTAACTCGTGCAATGGGAAAGTATTTAACTGAAGCTCCTAATCCAAGGCCACCCATTCAATTAAAAAAGATTGTATTGAGAGACATTTTGGCACAGTCTCAGACTCACAGCTGAAGCAGAAACAGATACTCGGCAGGAGAGAGTGTGAACCTCTCCCAGTGGGGAGGCTTGTTTCATCCATTGGAAGGAGCTGAGTGATGAGATATGAGCAACACATGAGAATGAGGAAAAGTGCCGGGTATGAATGGGTGACAAACTGGCAGTTAGTGGCTGTATGGAACTAATTGAGAGGATGGACATCGACTGCAACATCAATAGGACTTTAACATGAACCACACCAAAGCCCAGAGCCAATATTTTTGATTTCCTCTCTCTTGTAAGATAGCTCACACAAAGCAGTAGCTAGCAAACAATCCAATTGTGGTTGTGGCATGTGTACGATTATCATTACATACTGTGCTGCTGGAGCGCCTCAGTGATGCCATGGACTGTGGATTGTGCAGTTTAGCAAACAAATTAAAGCAAAACAAAAGTTCAGTTTGGCCCTGCTCTAATAAATTATTCTTACTGTGGGCATTGGTTCACAGCCCCAGCTCCACCACAACAACGCATAAAGCAAATGGTTTACCAAACAGAGAGCGGGAGAGACTGTTGTGACCTAGAGTGCTGTTTAGGCACATGCATAAAATATTGGCTTTTAGTTATTGCAATACATTTTAATATTGGCTTTTAGCTCAGCTGAGCTTGGACTGGTCTTGTTTTTGATCAAATGTTCAGGCTTGTCCAATAACTTATTGGGCCATTTTGGTTATTTTTGCCGAACCAACCCAGTGTTTCAACAATCCACACGCTTGAACAATTTTTATTTTCAATTTATTTGGAATAAGTTTACTCCAAATGTACCTATTCCAAGGAAACATGAAATGTATTACAACTTTTGTTTTTATCGATCCAACCGTTCTCACTCAAGTCGATATCTGAAACCTGGGAAGAATAGAGGTCAAAAGGGGAAAGAAATCACTGGCAGTCAGCAATACTATTGGCAATTTATTACATAACTCATCTTTTCCCTCAGGATGGTGAAATCTGGTCTCTAAGACAAAATATATTTGAAAGTTTCACTTTTTTTGCATTTCTGTATACTCAGCAATCGCATTGTCGCCTACACAATCATTCATGTCTAATATTTGAGCACTTGAATGCTTGTATTATATATTTTATATCTTTTTTAAATTATTTATATTTATTTATCCAATTCTTAGACTAAGCACAGGAAAGCATGAATTATTACAGTTAAGCAAATTCCTTGAATCTTTTATGACAAGTTCTGGTCATTTAATGATTTTTTACTCTAAATATATTACATATTATTGCTTTAAAACACCCCAACGTATTTGAATATTTATTAAAATCTCTTCTGTGTCTTTGACAAATATTTTACTCTATACCTTTTGACATTTACTGAGATGTATGCTAATTGGCCCTTTGCAAAGCTTGCCCCTGTGATGTTAGCCACTGCTATTTTGACAAGCTCGCAGAGATAGCATGGAGACCACACTGTCACTACATAGTCTCCCTGAATAAATAATATCACATTTGAAGAAGAATGGATTTCAGAGAATACGACGATAAATAAGAGCGTTATTTTAAATCCATGCCTCTATAACGTTAATTGTAAGACAAGGCAAGTTTATTTATATAGCACCTTTCAACACAAGGCAATTCAAAGCTTTACAAAAATGAAAAACATTAAGAAAATGGCATTTAAAAAAAGTCATTAAAAAGCAAAGATAATAAAATAAACATTAAAGGAAACAAAATACATGGATAAAAGTTACAGTGCAGTTTAAGATATGAATAGTTCAATTAAAAGCAGCTGCAAAAAGAAAAGTCTTCAGCCTGGATTTAAAAGTAGTAAGAGTTGCAACGGACCGGCAGGTTTCTGGTAGTTTGTTCCAGATATTTGGAGCATAATAACTGAACGCTGCTTTACCATGTTTAGTTCTGACTATAGGGACAGAAAGTTGACCAGTCCCAGAAGACCTGAGAGTTCTGGATGGTTCATAATTTAGCAGTAGGTCAGAAATGTATTTTGGGCCTAAACCATTCAAAGCTTTATAAACCAGCAGCAATATTTTGAAATCATTTATTTGACACACAGGAAGCCAGTGTAAAGACTTCAGAACTGGAGTGATGTGATCCACTTTCTTAGTGTTAGTGAGGACTCGAGCAGCAGCGTTTTGAATCAGCTGCAGCTTTATAATAGATTTTTTAGTGAGACCTGTGAAGACACCATTACAGTAGTCGAGTACTGAAGATAAAAGCATGGACAAGTTTTTCCAAATCCTGCTGTGACATTAGTCTTTTAATCCTAGATATATTCTTTAGGTGATAGTAGGCTGATTTAGTAACTGTTTTAATGTGACTGTTGAAACTCAGGTCAGAGTCCATGACTACACCTAGATTTCTGGCTTTATCTGTTGTTTTGAACATTGCAGACTGAAGCTCAGCGCTAACTTTTATATGTTCTGCCTTGGCTCGAAAAATCTTTACCTCAGTTTTATCTTTGTTTAATTGGAGAAAGTTCTGACATATCCAGTCATTGATTTGTTCAATGCACTTACTCAGTGTTTGAATTGGAGCAGTCTCCTGGTGAAATTATTACTTAAATGTGTGTGTCATCCGTATAGCTATGGTAGCTTATTGTGTTGTTTTTCATTATCTGAGCCAGTGGTAGCATGTAGATGTTAAAGAGAAGAGGCCCCAATATGGAGCCTTGAGGTACCCCACATGTCATATTTGTCAACTCACATGTGTATTTACCTATAGAAACAACGTTTTTCTGTCCTTTAAGTAGGATTCAAACCAATTTAGAACTGTTGCCGAAAGTCCCACCCAGTTTTCCAGTCGGTCTAGTAATATGTTGTGGTCAACAGTGTCAAACGCAGCACTGAGATCTAATAATACTAACACTGAAGTTCTGCCACTCTCTGTGTTTAAGTGGATGTCATTGAAGACCTTTACAAGAGCAGTCTCAGTGCTGTGGTTTGGACGAAAGCCTGACTGGAACACATCGAAACAGTTCTTTGAATGCAAGAAATTACTCAACTGTTGAAAAACTACTTTTTCATTGATTTTACCTAGAAATGGCAGGTTTGATATGGGCCTGTAATTGTTCATTACTGAATCATCTAGATTATTCTTTTTTAATGGTGGTTTAATGACTGCAGTTTTCAGGGCCTGTGGAAAAGCACCTGAGTGAAGAGACTTGTTTACTATGTGAAGTAGATCTGAGGCCATGCAATGAAAAACATTTTTGAAAAATCCTGTTGGAATAATATCAAGGCAGCAGGAGGAGGATTTCAGATGTTGTATATAATGTCCTCTAGGTTTTTATTATTAATCTGATGGAATTGTGTCATGATGTCTGAATAGATTTTAGGTGGACACTAGAGATGGCAAATCCGGATCCTTTTACGGACTCTGAGTCTTCTGAGTCAGTCATTGAAGAGATCCGGATCATACGAGTCTTTTGAGTCATATGAGTCAGCAAGAGTCACCAA